GTGAGGAAACTGAGGCACTGTGAAGTCAGGTCACCTGCCCTGGCTAAGGTCCCATAGCTGGCTGCTGCATACTGAGATTCACACCAGCACCCGTCTCTAAAGCCCCAAGCTCTATTGTTTTAGCTTTCTCTGGCCTCTGGTCTCAGGGATTATCCTGATAGTACAATCTAGAAAACTCCTCCCATTCACCAGCTCCTGCTTTGAATGTGATATGGCATTTTCAAAACTTATGTACAAAATCTCTCTAAAGGTTTGATTACCCCAAACAAGATTAGTATGAAGTATTTAGTAATTCACTGCTCAAATTTTCCCAGGAGAAACCCCTTGATGAATATGGTAAAATATATAATCTTAGAGATGAGTTTAGGAAGGGACTCACTGTACTTCATGCCCCTACAGCAATGGGAACCTCCCACCACCCCCAGGGAGTCCACAAGAAAAAGAAATGGGTGGGGCTGCATGAGTCCTGGTTCAGGCCTCAGAGATGCCACAAGTGCAGGCACCCATCAGTGACAAAGCCGGGGCCCCAGGGCTGCTCTATGCTTGTTCCTGGGAAGTCCAGCTCCCCTCTTAGGGCAGAGGAAGGCTCAGCAGCAAACAGTATTACCTTGGGCTACTGTTAGTATAGCTTTGTTACCATATTCTTTGCTCCCCTGGCAGAACTCAGAGCAAATCTACTGACTGAACATTCCGGATAATTCCAAAGTGACCTTTGGGGGCCTGGGTTTGTAAACCAAGAACTTTTAATCCACTACCTTTTCCAATTTAAGCCCAGCTATAATTTTCCAGACCTCAGGAAATCCACTCCTGACTCTTTATCAATTAGTCAGACAAGACTAACCTTTGAAGGGTGAGCATTTCTGGACTCAAGAAAGCTGTAGAAAAGAGAGGACTGGAAACTCGTTCAAGAACAACTCCAGGTGCCTCCCCCCAACACTCAGGCAGCAGCTCTGAAGTCACCCGAAACTGTAGACAGAACCTCCCCATAATCCTCAGGAGGCTGGCTAACCACAGAGGCCCCTCTGCCAGGCCAGAGCCCAAAGCCAGGAGCACAACCTGAGCCTCCAGCTCCACCACAAACCCTGCCTGCAAGACTGTGATTTCTGAAACAGTAACTGTGAAAGCAGCAGGGCTGGAGCCACCCCTCCGCCCTTCCACTTCTCTGGTGGGAACCCACCTCCTTTGATTGGCTGCTTCCCCACCCCCAGGCCTGGTTCACAGCAGAGGGATATCCAAAACTGAGCCAGCTAAAGCTATTTAAAACAAGAGAAAGTGAGAAATGGAAGGGGCCTCTGGCACTGTCTCACACGACACCCTCACTTTACAGAAGAGATAACTGAGACCCCAAGGAGAAGCTATAATGCGCCCCCTACCCTCCGCACTCTCTCCCCATCCCCTACTCCCCTAACCCCATAAGCCTACCCAGCAAAACCTCAAGAGAAGATGGTGATGCAAAGAAGAGAACATAAGGAAGGGCTAGGTTCCTCGGGGGGCTGGGAGTGCAAAAAGGAATTCTCAGAAAATGCATTGCTGCCAGCACAGGACTTGCTCAGAGGGGACCCCAGGGCCCAGGCTGGGCTAGGCAATGATGACAGCATGACAGCATGGCAGCCTGGGCCTATGCGTCCCGAAACCTTATGCATGGTGTTTGGAGGGGTCGGGGACAGTCTTCCCCTAGTACCAGCCAGGTGCCAAATCACCCAGGAGGAGAAAGAGTTGGGAAGAAAGCCACATGGGTGGAGAAGCAGGGAGGAGAGAGACCAACTTTAGAAAGTCTGGAAGAGGATTCCTGCAGCACTGAAAGGCCCAACTGCAACCACAGCGGCCAAGACATCAGGAATTGCAGCCGAAGGAGCCAGCCTGTGGCCAGATTGCCAGCCAGTGGGTCAACTAGGCTAGAGGGGGAAGAGGTTTAAATTTAGCAGCTAAACAGAGCTTCTGGGTGGAGAGGCCCTGGTAGAAGTAGGGCAATCACCTGCTCCTTTCACTGAAGGGAACATAGGGCCAGAACTGTACCCTGCAAACAGCAGGTCTGCTTCCCAGGCTCCACCAATGGGGTGGCAGGGCAGTGAAAAGGGTGCTCTTCAGAGGTGGGCAGAAGTTATTTTTACTTTAACAAGTGGCTCAGTTGCTCAGGTTAAAAACTATCAGGTCTTTTCATCTTTATAACAGTATTTGTTCCCAACCCTTCTGCTGGATTGTTTCTGGACTCCTCCTGGATATAATTTGAAGATACCCCATAGAAAACCAGCCAAGGATGCCCTGAGGTGAGAGTGAGGAGCCTACATATCCTCTCCTCACTGGGGGATTTTTATATCTATTGTTCTTAAGAACCTTGAGAGACCTGAAGGAGTTACAAATATCACCACCACCACAGATTGTGAGGGCTGCCTTCAGGTGTGGGGCTGGAACAAAGGCAGAGTCTGAAGACTTGTTAAGAAGATTAGGAAATAAATGACAGGCAGTTTGAAAGGACCAAAGGGAGAACAAAATCAGAATGGCCAACAGAAAAGCTTTTGTGGACACATTGGATTTTATTTCAGAGAAGGCAAGAAGTATCACTTTATATAAAAATGCCCTCTCTTGACAGAAGTGCCAGGCCGTGGCAATCTGGAAACCGGCAGGACTGTCCCAGGAGGTAAAATCAGAGCAGACTAGCCTGGTCCTCTGACCTCCTGAAGGAGTGCAAACAACAAAATCTTTCAGCTGTCACTACAGCAAGAGAAGCGTAAATGCACCGGTGAAGACAATCCCAGGTTTTTTCACTTCACCGCATATGGCTCCCAGCAATTTGGCAATATCCCTTTACTTTACACTTTTGGGATAGAAAATTTTTTAGAAAAGGGTTGTTTCAAGCCAATAAGACACCCTTGGAGATAGTAAAATCACCAAATGTACTAAAAAGAGGAGCGGCTCTAGACACCCTGAGTAAACACTCCCCTCCACACACACCCTCCCTCACATACTCATACTCAAATACAGAAGAAATCAGGGCCTGGGAAAGTAGGAAATCCACAGATGGGAAGGGCCGGCAAGCTCCTCCAAGGCTGGTTCCTGCTCCCCTGGCAGGCAAATCCCAAACACCCTCCGTCTGATTTTCTGTAGGAAAAGAAGGGGGCTGTTGCTCTTATCTGCCCTTAACTATTTATCCACATATTGTCTCTTCAGGTCCCTTTGCCCCACTCCCTCCTGCCCTGGTGCTGGCTCCAGCTGCACCCTGCAGTGGGGAGACCTAGCTTTAAGCTTGCCTTCTCTCCTGGGCTCCTGGACCCAGCTGCGTCGCTCCTCTCACAACTGTGCAGAGATCTCAGCACTGCCTCTCCTTCACAGGAGCCTGGCAAACAAGTCCTGCTTGCTATTTATAACCACAGACCTGTTGTGTCACAGAGACAACACTGTTTTGAAATGGAGGAAAACCACCACTCAGCATTTCACCTCCCGAACTTGGTGTGTTTGCCAGGACGCATGTGTGTGTGTGTGTGTGTACAGGTGTGTGTACAGGTGTGTGTACAGGTGTGTGGGCACACACTGGGGCCAGCACCCACTTACCTGTGCCTGAGACTGGCAGTCCAGCCCCACCAGTGAACCAGAAATCGACAGGCGCAGCTGGCACCAGGAAAGGGTACTCAGGCTTTCTGAGGGTGTGCCCACTGCTCCCAGGGCCCCATGGTACCGCAGGGCCAGCCACAGAAGAGGTCCCCCTAAGCTCCTACCTCTGTGCACTCACAAATGCTGACATGTGGCCAGGAGTGTGACCCTGCCCCACTGACCCAGAAATCTCCGTACCCACACTGATGGCACAACACAGATGTCCCATCACAGCTCTATCGGGTGGGCACATTCTCAATGACTAGAGCAGTTCAGGAGATTGGTAACAGGATCCTGAGCCTTTCTCCTCCGGGTACCAGGCTGAAACTCTGACCAGGTTGATAGTAACTGAGAGCTGGTACCAGTGTGGCCCCGCAGCAAAAGCAGCGAAGAAGGTGGGGTGGGTGGGGACTGGAGAGCAGGTCAACCCATTCAGAGTTGGGAACCCCTCCCGCCGCGGGAATGAGCAACCTCAGTTTTTCTCTCTGTAAACAGAACTAATCAAGCCTCAAGCGAACTGAACGACATCTCACAGCGATTTGAGAATGAAAATAATCCAAGAAATCTGGCTCTGATTGAAGTGCGTAGCCACATATGCATGAGAACCAGCGAGAAGATAAAGAGGTCACTTTCCCCTTTTCCCAGGGCAAGGATAGATAAGCGTTAAGGACAGATGAAGGACAGTGAAATCCGAGCAGGACAATGAAAGAAAACTGAAACCTTAGACCACTACTCAGGGGTTGACCTGCTCGGATATCAGGCAGGAATTCAGGCACCAAACTAACACTGCTCTGGGGTCTAAAATAATCCAGATGTAGCCCTCGCCCAATCTGGCTGATGCGGGCGCAGACTGGGCCCGACCACGCCAGTCGGACCAGTGAGCGAGGAGGTCAGAGGGGCTCACGCTTCTACGACAGGCGCGGGCAGGGCCCCGGGGATGCCCCTGTGCACGCAGACGGGCCGCACCTCCCTGGCCACCTCCTTGGACGCCAAACGCTCGGGGACCGAGAGCCACAAGCACCGGAGCTGCCGGGAAGGGCGAGAAAACTCTACCCTAGCTGCCCGCACACGGGCTGAAGGCGGCAAGCGGCCCCAGCTTTGTTCGAGGCCTGGGACCCAGGTTCCCTTTCCCTTTTCACGTTCCCGACCCCCACCTGACGGGACTCAGCCCGCTCCCAGCCCGCTCCACCCGGTCGCGTCGCGGAGGGCAGGGTCCCCGCTCCCAGGACCCCTGGTCCCTCCCCGCTCCGGGCACTGAGCACCAGCCGCCGCCGAGGGGGCGGGAACGCAGAGCTCCAGGAAGTTTCGGAGGCGGGAGCTGAGGAGGGGCGTCTACGGGCGGCGGGTCTGGGGGCCGGGGGCGCGGCGGCCCGCGCGCTGCCCCTGTCCCGCAGCGGGCCGCCGGCACTTACCTGCGTGTCCCGCCGCTCCTCAGGCTCGCGGGCTCCGGCTCCTCCGGCGACGGCTGCGCTGGATCGTCAGGGCGCCGCAGCGAGCGGGGGCCGCTCCTCTCCGCGCTCGGGCCGCGGCGCCGGACTCAGCATCCGCGCCTGGGCGCACAGCGCTCCGGGGGTCCGGGGATCCCGCCGCAGCGTCTGCGGGAGCCCGCTCAGGCCGGGGCAGCCTTCGCGGGAGGCGCGCTGCCCGGCCCGGGCGGCCGAGGCACGGCGCCCGGGAACCTGCGCTCGGTCGGCTGCGAAGTCGGGTGCGGAGACCGAGACCGCGCTGCAATGAAGCGAGGCCTCGCGACCTGCGCACCAGCTCAGGCCCCGCCGTCGGTAGTGGCTGGGCTGCACCCTCTTCTCTGGAGCGCAGGACCCCAAGAAGTTTCGGCCGAGTCGGCGGCGGACGGGCAGCGGCCGCGGCACTGCCGGGCGAGGCCCCCCGCCGCCTCCGCCCCGCCCCCACGCCTCCTTTCCGCCCCGGGCCGCCGCGTGGGTCCCGCTCGCTCCTTCCCACCCGTTGGCCCTGGAGCTCCCCTCCCAGGGCTTCTCCCAGGCGCTGGGACCGTGACCTCCGCACCTGCCCGCCACCCAGCGGACACCACTTCTCCCTCTGTCTCCCGGCTGAGCGGCCCCAGCCCCGCCCAGGCGGACGGTGGGGAGCCCCGCCCCCAGCCCCGCCCCCGAGCCCCGCCCCCTCCGCGGCGTCCTGCACCCACTGCCTCCTGCACCCACTGCCTCCTGCTCCCGGAACAAAACCCGGGGTCCCGAGAGGACCCCCGTGGGCGCGCGGCTCTGGCACCTCAGGGGCTGCAGAGCAAGAGGCTCTGAGAGGGGAGACAGTTAACAGTAATTCTTATATTTACATCAAACTCTTGCACGCTCTTTATCCTCCTTTGAATCCCCCCAAAGCAGTACAGTGTGATTGGTTATTTCCTCTTTACGAACCCAAGTCATTCCTTTCCCGGCCCTGGACCTTTTCCTACAGCACCCAATAGAGAGATCTCTGGGCCAGGAAATCCTGTCCCAGATGGGGGTGGGGTGGCACACCAAGAAAAACGTTCCCGATGCATTCTCTTCTCACTTCTGTGACAGCTGTAGGGTAGAGTTATTCACCTGACTTTTTATATGCGGAAACCAAAGCCCAGAAAAGTGGCCCCATAGTCGCTTGAAAATATCACTAGTCCAGTTTTGAGCCTTAGCTCAGACCAAACTAAATACCTTTTAAACGAAATACCTTTTTTTGAAGTTTCCAAGTCCCGTTAGTAGCTGCCTTATAAGACCCCTGGGTGACCTGACAAGCAGGAGTTAGCCAAGACCCATGCAATGCAGGTGCTGACCCCCAGCTTCCGGACCCTGCTCCTTACTCTCCTAACGGGGCGCCAACCCAGAGTAGCCAGCGCTGTCTGAGGTCTGCCCTCCAAAGGTCTTTTCTTCTACATTTTGAAACACACCTCTTCCCTGAGTGAGTAGGAGGCTGCCCTGGTTAAGAAATTGTCTTTGAATGTAGTATTGGGGGGGGGGGCAATAGAAATAATCCTAGGTTTTGCCTTCTCTTAATTCGTAACCCAAAAGGTGCAGCCTTCTCTTTTCCGAGAGTGAGGGGGGAAAGGGACCAGGAGCCCACCACGCTGAGCTGGCAATAAGGAGCTATTGTCCTCCGGTTTTTACAATAAGGAAACTACAAAGCTCTCTTAGCAAATACCAGACTAATTAGAGGAGAAAGCTTCCTTGGAATCGTGCTAGCTTGGGCAGGAGGTGCACTATGACTTTCTCACCTCGAAGTGAATGGGGTTTATGAGCCCTGGTCCAGCAACTTTAAATGAATGGTCTATAATTGCCATGGGGTGTGGGGAGGGGGCTGTTTTCACCTGGGGGAGCTAGTTCAAGGCTTTATCTCTGGGGACAGATGGGACAGGGAGAGGAGCCGGTCTAAAGCAGGCATAAAAGCTTTGAATCCACTTTGTCAAATTAAAAGTATATGCACTTCCTCTTCTCAGAATAGTTTGGGCTCTGAGCTCAGAGACTTTGTGGGAGGTCAGGGAAGGCCTTGTCCAGAAGGCCCCAGTCTCTCTGGAATGCAACCTGGGAATGTTTGGGTATTCACTCCACACACTTTTATGGAGCTCCAAGCACGCAGAGATTACTGGGATCAGTTCCCCGTCTGAAGGAGTAGGGTTGGTGCCAAAAGCAGGTCTGGCTGCAAAAGCCAGTTCTCAAGAGGCAGGTGATGATGTAAATAAAGTTAAGTGGTTTATCTGCAGATGCCAGCCATCTGGAAGATGGGGGACTCATGTCTCAAAGCCCATCTCCACCTCTTGGTGGAGGCAGAGGTTTTCATAAGGAGGGAGAGGGGAACAGACAGATCAAGGGCGGGGGTTGTGAAGTTCTCTACCTTCAGAGGAGCAGAGCGCGTACTGATAAGGCAAGTGGTGGTCCAATGTGCATCATCCTGGATTAGTCATCCCGGCTTCACTTCATCCTGACTCCCCATCATCCTGGATCCGCGGTTGAAAATCAGCAAATCTCCCAGAGCCGGGATGCCTGAAGGTCAGGGTCTGTATCTTTTGAAGTCAGTTCCTAGGATTCTTATACAAACATGCTGTTTATCTACAAGCTACATATTAGTCAGAGTCAGCACTTAGGGAAACAATGTCAAAAGAACGGTGGGGTGGGTTACAAGTCCCCGATACAATTTGCTACTATCATATTGGGATGGGGGACAAATTTCTTGTTCGGGGCCTAGAATAAGCACAAGAAGGGACAACTTTGCTTGGATTCCAGCTGACAGCCTAGGAAGAGACCAGGTAACAGGAGACAAAAATCCCAGCTGAATATCCTACACATAGCCCTGTACTTCCCACCATCTCCATCCAAAATGAATCAAAACCTGTGGCTTGGGAAGGGAAACTACAGTGTTTCCTCCCGGAAAGGAGCTTGTGGCTGAGAAGCTGGGAAACATCTGAATAAGGATCCCTGGGACAACTTCCCAAGGCAAGTGGTGGTGCCCTTCTGCTTGAGTCACCGAGCTGCTAGGGAGTCTACAGCCAACCCTGGAGGCAAACACTGCCGGGAATGAGAGAGATCTCACCATGTTTTGTCTGTGATTTGCTGGGCAGGATCTCTTGCCTTCTCCCCTCAGTAAAACATATCCTGACTTGGCATTTGTGGCTGAAACAAAAGAAAGGAAAAACACATATCTGGACATATGGAAATTTGTGATGATTTCTGTTCTATTTTTCAGACACTGTTCCCCCTCCCTGGTCATGCTTTCCCAGCCTCCAACCACGCTCAGAGGTCTCTTCCAAGCCAAAGTGCCTAATGAAGATCCTGCCAGAGTCAAAGAGAAGCCAGCCTCCTCCATCTCCTTAGTTCTCTGTGTCTCCTTAGCCCTCTATGGCCTTCTTGTGGGGTAGGTATATCCAGCACTGTCCTCCCACCCTGGGGCTGCGCATTTTTAGGGTAACCATTCCTTTCCCAGCCCAACACCAGGAGGAAGAGTTTTCGGGTGGCACTGCTGTTCTTACTGCTGCTGGTGGCCGGAGGAAACCAGTCCTGTTTTGGGACATTCCTTCATTCTGCCCCAGGATGGCTTCTCTGGTCCTTTTCAAAAGGGTTACTTGGGATGCACAGAAAATTTTCTGGGGGAACCAACTAGATGTGCCTTTGAAGCCAGGATGGAATGGAGAGACAACTAAAATAACCTCTTATCCCAAAATAATAACCTTTTATCCCAACAGTCACTTTACCTCTGTTGCCTGTGTTATTCAGTGTTCATTTCATGCTGGTTAGCTAGATGTTTTTCTAAAAACAAGGGTTTCAAAAACTGATAGATTCTGACCCAAATGTCCAAACCCTGTCCCTGAATTACTCCCACAGACTCCCAATAGCTGAGGCAATTTGAAACATCTGAATGAGAGGAATTCTAAGAGCTGAAAGCACAGGGTTGATAAGAAGGAAACTGCAGTTGACTTGTAGGGAAAAATGTTGGCGCCAAGAATCCAGCAGCTGAAGGAATCTGTACAAAGGTGGAAGAAGGGCTAAACTACTGACAGTCTTAACACCTGAGATGTGCAGAGAACTCACCAGATTATAAACTGTTTTTACATTTTTAGCTTATTTGAGATGTATCAAATGAGAATAGTCCTGCTTATCTCCCTGGATGCTCTCCTCTGACCAATTCTTCCCCAAAGAGAGGCAACCACCCTCCGTGGAGGGGGTCTAGCGTGGTCACTGAGCAAGTGGCTGCGGACCAGCCTACTGGTAATCCAGACTCGCCCCCTTATAGATCTTGGGCAAGACACTGATCTCCCTAAGGCTCAGTTTTCTCATCTTGAAAGGCAGTGGTGTTGAGATAGCCTTCCTCATGGGAATGTGAAAATTAAATAAGATAGTCCAGATAAAGAAACCAAGAACTGTGTCTTCCATATAGTAGCACTCAGTAAATATTAACAATGGTATGGTAATTATTAAATAGATATGACCTGGTTCTCCATTTTGACAGTCTAATGTTACTCTCAATCCTTGAACTCCCTGATTTTAACCCCATTTTTTTCTTCTAGGAGAAGGCAGAATCCCAAATAGTCCCTTGAATGAGTCACAGCTTTACAAATATCTAGATGGAAGCAGTTGAGTGCTAGCAAATCCAGGGGCCCCAGCTGGCTGCCAGGAGGGTCCATCATCCTGACAGTGCCACCTGCTGAGGTCCCGTAAAGAGAGAGTGGCCCTGACAGTAAGCTGCTCAGCATTTTTTGGAGTTGTTATTAACAGAAAGCCCTGCTTTCCCTTTTGAATCTGTAGCGTCCCCATGTCCCTCCTGTTTGCCCTTCTCAACTTTGACTAAAGTCCTTTCATGTACTCTGTACTGAGGGACATTTCAGAGGGAATGACACAGGGTACCTGCCCTCAAGGGCTCTGTTTGCATGGAGACCCAGGGTACAGACGAATGGGAACAAAGGGCAGATGCCTGGGTCTGCACCCCGAGGGGCTGAAGCCCTCACAGCTCATGGCATTCAGGGTTGAGGCTGGAGGCCTGGACTCACTCTCTCCTCTTCTCAAGGGGCTCTTGACCATGGGCAAGTCGCTTCCCTCCCTGGGCCTCAGTGTCCTCACTAAATAAATCTGATTGAGTCAAGGGGGGAATTGAGGAAGATGGATGTGTGGGTGGAAGACAATGAATTTGACTTCATATACATTTCATTTGAGTGTCACTGGGGACATCCAAGTGTTGACAGCAAGAAATAGAGACCTGGAAGGGGGTTAGAGGTCAGGGTGGCTGGAGAGGCAGTTTCAGTGAAGTGAACCAATAACGCTGAAAGCTGGCCAGCCAGGGGTCAAGGCAGGAAGGGGCAGTGAAGGGGCATCGGTAATTCCTGCAAGTTTAACTGAGAAGAGAGGGGGACTGGAGGAAAGGGAAAAGGCTCAGGGGTTAAGTGATCAAGTAATGTTTTTTCCCACAATAAGGGAGCCCTGGACATGCTTGAAAGCAGAGAGAAGAAAAGTGAGGAGGGTGAGAAATCCCTGCTGATAGAAAGGGATGGGAAAGGGCTGGGCGGAGAGAGGCCAAGAGCTCAGTGAGGGTTCACATTCCTGAGCATGAGATACCCCTTCCTCTGTCCTCTCC